AACATTAAATAAAAAATTAAGAGAATTTAAGGGACATTTATTCCTTTAGTGTTAAATAAATGTACACTGCTTCCCTATGTTTTTAGAACTATTTAGGGTTTGAATAGATAGTATAAATATCAAAAAATGTTGCAGTTCCACTGGCCATTCAAATCCCATGAAAGTAAATGAAGTGGGAATGGATCATAATGTCTTTTTATAGATGCATTTCATTGAGTGTGCAAAGATCAAGTATACCAATTTGATCAATTTCTTTCTTAGGTTTTATGGATATAACATTCTCATCAGTATATACCAGTGGTCGGCAAACTGTGGCTCGTGAGCCACATGTGGCTTTTTGGCCCCTTGAGTGTGGCTCTTCCACAAAATAACGACTTCTGGCATGGGCCACGAAGTTTCAATCACACTGTACGTGTGCGCCTGCACGTGGTATTTTGTGGAAGAGGCACACTCAAGGGGCTAAAGAGCCGCATGTGGCTTGCGAGCCGCAGTTTGCTGACCACTGGTATACACTGATAAATTACACATTGTAAATTTTTAAAAAATGTTCATACATCTGTTAAAATACAAGGGAAGTAATCAGGAAAATATGATTAGCTACAGAAACACCTATTACTTTTTTTTGTTTTGTTAATCCTCACCAGAGGATACTTTCTTATTGATTTTTAGAGAGAGTGGAAAGGAAGGGGAGAGACAGAGAGAGAAAAGCATCAATGTGAGAGAGACACATCAATTGGTCTGCAACCAAGGTACTGCCCTTGACCGGAACTGAACCCGCAACCCTTCAGTCCACAAACCAACGCTCTATCCACTGAGTCCAACAGACCAGGGCCTTATTTACTTTCAAGAATGCAAATGTGAAAATTCAAGATTCAGCTTTCTTTCTTTCTTCTGGACTATTATGTTTTGCTAAAAATGTTGATTCCATCTCCCCCCCCGCTGCCCAACAAGAGTTAGACTTGAGCCAGTATAGCTACATATTAATAAAATTATATAAGTGTATCCAAGGTAGGGTAAAGGTAGGCTTACAGTTGTTCCTATGGAACATAATACTATCCTATATAATAAAAGGCAAATATGCAAATTGACCAAATGGCGAAACAACCAGTTGCTATGATGCACACTGACCACCAGAGGGCAGACACTCAATGCAGGAGCTGCCCCCTGGTGCTTAGTTCACTCCCACAGGGGGATCGCCACTCAGCCAGAAGCTAGGCTCACTGAAAGCGCAGTGTCCGTGGTGGGAGCCTCTCCCGCCTCCGTGGCAGTGCTTAGGATGTCCGAGTGATGGCTTAGGCCCTCTCCTCCCAGGAGCGGGCCTAAGCCGTCAGTTGAATATCTCGCAAGGGCTCCCAGACTGTGAGAGGGCACAGGCTGGGCTGAGGGGCCCCCCGAGTGCACGAATTTTGTGCCTCGGGCCTCTAGTAATCTATATATATAAAAGCCTAAGTGACTGTTGTGACCGAACAACTGGAATAACCAGTTGAGTTGACCAGTCACTATGACGCACATTGACCACCAGGGGGTAGACGCTCAATGCAGGAGCTGTCCCCTGGTGGTCAGTGCACTTCCACAGTCAACCTCCTGTGCCCCGCCCCGCCCCAGGCCAGCCAACCTCCTGCAGCCCCTCCCTCCCGCTAGCCAACCTCCCGTGCCCGACCCCCTTGGCCAACCTCCTGTGGCCCCCATGGCCCCGATTGCCAGCCAAGCTGAGGGACCCCACCCATGCGTGAATTCATGCTCTGGACCTCTAGTTAATAAATAATACTATACGCATAAACTGTTTTATGTACTCTATAAACCTATAAACCCTTTTCTAAGTTCTTATGAGAAATGTTGAAAATAGCTTTCATGTATTAAACAAATGCTAGTAATAAAAAACTTTGCAATATTCATATATAAAAAATAGTACCATTGTTATAAAAATACTGAACATATTATCTTATACTCATTTCAGTGACTACACTTGCCATTCAGAATCTTTTTCCTAGCTATTAAGACTTTTAAGTTCATTTTTAACATAAACTCCAGAAATGTCTACAAATAATGACTAAAAAAATTCCACTGAAAGTTTAAAAGTAGATGTGAAGGTTTTCCAAATTGTTAGATAATTATTTTTAAAAAGGGTAATCCTATGTATGCCTATGTTTAATCTTAGTGGTGATAAGTTAAAAGGCTGAATGGCTGGGTTACTATTCCATAAATATGTATAAGTGTATTACCCCCTTTCTCTATATGCGCATGTCTCTTTCGGTGTCTAAAATCTCCATACTTTTCACTGTGTTTAAGGCACTTTATGCAATGCTGGCCTTATGCCTGCTTTTTCTTTCCCCAACGAAGTGCCTTCTTACGCAATTGTAAACTGTAAGTGGTAAGAAAGAGGGGTACCAGTATTAAGTATAATTATACTTTATAGAAGTCAATGGGATTAGTTTTAACATAATAGATATGTATTTTAATTTTATCCGCATTTCATATTTATTCTAAATATTTATTCTAAAAAGGTGACAAAAGAACAAGTTGAGAATGAAAGGGGTTTCAGTTGAGCCATAGATTCTTTGGGGGGGGGGGCGGGGAGAAATATGAAAAGCCAAAGGGGACTTTCTGAGAAAAGAGGAAATAAGAAATAAAATAATATGGGAGCAGGAGATAGAAGTCTTAGAAGCTGACAACCAAAGCATAAGGAGATTTAGCTAATGAAGATATAGAATGCAAATGCAAAATGGAAAGGATCAGTGATAACTTATAAGGAGGGCCTAAGGCAAAAGTTAGAATTATGAGAAAAGATTTGAAAGACAAAAACTAAGAAAGTGCCATTGACTTGGTGTCTATAGTGACTGAGGATTTAAAAAAAAAAAAAAAAAAGATCTAAAGGGCCCTAATTAGAAAGTAGTTTAGTTGTATAGGTATCAAAAGGACCAAGGACTAGGACAGTAGTTCTCAACCTGTGGGTCGCGACCCCTTTGGCGGTCAAACGACCCTTTCACATGGGTCGCCTAAGACCATCCTGCATATCAGATATTTACATTACGATTCATAACAGTAGCAACATTACAGTTATGAAGTAGCAATGAAAATAATTTTATGGTTGGATCACACATGAGGAACTGTATTTAAAGGGCCAGAAGGTTGAGAACCACTGGACCAGGAGAAGATGGGTATATCTAGCTGTAGGGGTTAGGGAGTAATGAAAGGATTCAAAAAGAAAGAGCGTTTACTACTATAACCTCAAGATTGATTGCACAATGTGAAACTTGCAATACATCTAAGATATGTGCAGCTTGTTTCTTGAATTAAGTTACTATTTTTATGAGACACTGACCCCTGAATAAGAGGTTCCCTACATTACATCCAAAGTTAGGAAAGTCAAATAGTGCATCAAAGGACTAGGAAAGCTTTCAGTAATTTTTGCCACATGGATGCCTCTATTAAAATCAAACACTAGAGGTTTATTTTTGTATGGAAAAATCATGAAATTTTATGGTTGCCTTAATATTTAATTTTCCACACTTTATTTGTTCCTTGCTGTACATTTTGGAGATGCAGCAAGAGTCTGACAGACAAAAAAAGTAGGACTTAACATTTGTTCTCAGTAAGCAGCTACTCAATAAGATAATATTTCCAGTTACTGGCTTAGAAAGCAAGATTCTGAGATTACTGCTGGACGTAAGCCTCTGACTTATCAACCAAAAAAGTTACTTCCTCTTTAGTATAATGAATTGCAGAAGTACAGTTAAACAGTTATCTATGAGGGTTTATTAGCAGGCATCGGATATGGTGGGTGAGCAGATACTATTTTTTTTTCGCCAGTGACCAAAATATTTACGAGTTTCATAAAATGGAAAGAACTTTCTAAAAAATTACTAAGATCTGTTTCACAAATAAGGAACTCAACTGGAACACTGAGTAGTAGAAATGATAAAGATTTGTTCTTCTGGTTCATAAAAAATTTATATCAGGGCATTCAAGTAAAGTTATTTTCTGTGTTCTGATTTAATGAATCATGTGAGTTGTATCTGGTTGGGTGACACAAATGCTGGCTCAGTGAAGCCTACCCTAATGTCTCCCAGCACAGCCTTCCTTGGGACAGTAAAGCCAGAATAACATGTCTGACTAAAATAATATCAGAGAAAGAGAAAGCAGGACTGGAGATGCTGTGAGGCTGGCTCATAACATTTCTTGACCTGTGAGTGTCCAGTATGTATTCAATGTCCTATGGGCTTCAATGACCTAACAAGTACCAAATAGCAACAGTAATTAAGTAATGAATGGTCCTCAAAAAAAAAAAAAAAAAGACTTTTGCAATTCAAGCTGAAAAACACATACTTACTAGATGGTTTTAACCCTACTGAAAGACATCCTAAGAAACCACTAGTGATTTCTTTAACCCTTTGTATGCCATAAGCATCTATAGACACAAGGATGGTTTCTGTTTTGGACGCGTAGCAGTTAACTGGCTATGGATGAGTGAATATTAAATATTTTATATATGTTTGTGTAGTATCTATTTTAGTTCCTTTAAATGTTTGATTTTAAAGATATACATTAATTTTGAAAATGAAACTTTTCTTATGCTATTAATGATAAAATATGTTGAAGAAAAATAAAATAGCATTAGATATGTTGATAAAAATAGAGATTTAAAATAATGTGGTCTATTTACTGTTAATAAAATACACTGTTAAAAATGAAACTAAAGAACCCTCTGCATATATCCCACACAGGGATGTTCTTCTCTTTCAAAAGATAAGTAATATTTGCAAAGAAAAAGGCCATCAGAAAAAAAGACAATAAAAATATAGAGAATGATTATAACATATCAAAATATAGCATATCACTTTACATAAAAGTTATTTTATTATAAAGGAAATAAAAATAAGACACAAAATAGGGGTACAAGATTTTCTAAGGATGTTTACAAAATCAATGAACAACTCTGTTTTTCCCTAATCAAAGTTCTTTATATTTAGTATTTAGTTAAAATCTAAAAGAGTACTTACAATGACAGCAACACCATAGCAATTAAGGTCCATTCTGCAGGTTTGTGTATAATATTTCTATTTGTTAATCTGAAAGACAGTAAGATAAAATTTACGAAAGGATTGTTATATTTTTCTATTTATAGAAAAGTCAGAAATATGACATCATGTGTCAAAGAGCACTATTTTTTTATTTTTGTTAGATAAGAGTCAATCCTATATAATAAAAGGCTAATATGCAAATTGTCCCCTCAATCAGGAGTTTGACGGGGAGTTCAACTGGAAGTTCGACCAGGGGGCAGGGCTGGCCAGCCAACCGCCTGTGGCCCCTCCCTCTGGCCGGCCCCCCCTGACTGCCCCCCACCCCAACTGCCCGCCGCCCCTCTCCCCAGCTGGCCTGGCCCGATAGGCCCCGATGGGGGCTGGCTGGCCAGACCTCACCTGTGCACGAATTCGTGCACCGGGCCTCTAGTAGCATAATAATATGGCTTGATATTCACTATCTAATAATGACTGTCTCAAAAGTAAATATTCCAGTCCTACTATTATGTATTTATAACAATACTATTATATAAAATGGAAATAAAGGAACAACATGGGAAACTAAATTGCATGGTTTATTAAAATACAGACATCCCTATAACCATATGATCTGTTTTCCCCAATCAAACATTTTATTAAAGCTAACAAGGTAAGCAATTTTTTATTTTAATTCATCTTTCATACTTTTCTGCCTCATGCTAGGTTGCCAGTAGGCAATTAAGGGATGTCATAATCCATAATATACAGAAATGAGCATTCACTTAATACATTTTAAGGCTAGGTCTCTATAAAGAAAACTTAAGTTTTAAAAAATCAGCAGAAAATTCTACCACTTAGCAGTTGATGACAATAAAATATTTTGTAATCATCTTAGTTTCTCAGAAAGCATTTAAAATGATTACTTTAACTAAAAAATAGTATCACTCAATCGGGAAAAACCAGCCAATAATATCTGATAAAAGAATGTTATCCAAAATATACAAAGAATGCTTAAAATTTAACAATAGGAAAACAGCCCAATTAAAAAATGGGCCAAACATGTTAATAGACACTCCACAAAAGATAAACAAATGACAGATAAGCATATGAAAAGATGCTCCATATCATGTTATCTGAGAAATGCAATTTAAAACAAGTTATCACTATATACCTATTAAAATGGCTAAAATCCTGAACATTGACAAAACCAAATGCTGATAAGCATGTGGAGCAAAAGGAACTCTCATACATTGCTGGAGGGAACGCAAAATGGTACAGCCACTTTGGAAAACAGATTGGCAGTTTCTCACAAAGTAAACATATTCCTACCATATGACTCAGCAATCATGCTCCTTGGTATTTATTCAAAGGAGTAAAAAAATCATGTCTACACAGAAACCTACACACAGCATTCACAGAAGTTCTATTCATAATTGCCAGAACTGGAGACAACCAGAGTCTTTCTGTAGGTGAATGAATGCATTGTGGTATATCTAGATGAGGGAACATTATTCAGCTGTAAAAAAGAAACGAGCTATCACACCAGGAAAAGACATAGAGGTACTTTATATGCATATTACCAAAGTGAAAGAAGTCACTCTGAAAAGGCTACATACTGTATGATTCCAACTATACCACATTCTTGAAAAGGTAAAACTATCAAGATAGTAAAAAGATCAGTAGTTGCCTCGGGGGGAGAGGGGAAAGGGATATGGGTGGTAGAGGAGTAAATGAATAGGTGGAACACAGAATTTTTAGGGCAGAGAAAATATTCTATGATACTAAAATGATACATTTGTCCAAACCCACAGAATATACAAAATCAAGAGTGAACTATAGACTCTAGGTGATAATGATGTTGTCAATGTAGGTTTACCAACTGTAGCAAATGCATTACTCTGGTAGGGAATGTTGTTGATAAGGTGTACATCTAAATAAAATATTACAAAATGCAATAATCCATTAATTCTGAGTAGAGAATATGTGTATCTTTGTTAATCTAGATTTTTTCCATAGTTAAAATGTTTTACAAAATTTTGAAAATTCTAGATGATATAAAAAATACAGTACAGAGGCTAAAAAGTTTGACAGACATGGACTCAGTACACATATCTATCACTTAGTAGTGTTTTACCTTGGGCACATTCAACAGCTGTAAAACTTTTTTTAATTTAGTAAAACAGGAACAATAGTACTACTTATCCCAGGGTTTTTATGAGGATTAAGTGTACAAAAGACGTTCACGTTGTCAAATTCAACAGACATCTCTGAGTCCTCTATCTTAATCTATCAGCAGCATTTGACACAGTTGATCACTCCCTTCTCCTTAGAACATTTTCTTCACCTGGTTTCCATTTGCCTGATTTCCCTCTCTCTAAATGGCCTCTTTAAAACACACACACACACACACATACACACACACACACACACACACACACACACACACACATTTATTGATTTCAGAGAGGAAAAGAGAGAGGGAGAGCTAGAAACATCAATGATGAGAGAGAATCATTGATTAGGTGCCTCCTGCACGTCCCACAATGCAGTCATGTGCCCTGACTGCCTTCCCAGACCTTTTAACTTTGGTTTGCTCCAAGGTCTCAGGTCTCCTATAAATATGATCATTCCCTTAGTGATGTCATCCAATCTCATAGCTTTAATATTAAATAACTATGTGCTGTACTGAAACAAATGTTGTATTTGTTTCTTAATTAAGCATCTTCCTGTAATTTATTATAAAGTAGAAATTAAATATAGAGAATGTTTTAACAGTTTTTAAACTCAAAATTTGTCAATCATTTTTAATAGTTCTTTTTTTATAAAAAGAAAAAGGAATTTCAGGACAGGCAGTAGCTTCTTTTAAAATTTATACACAAAGAAGCATTAACTGCACAGTTGCTGTTAGCTGCCTGTTCTAAAACAATAGTCTTTTTATTGAAACACAAACTTTTCTGTAATATTTTATGGAATATAAAGATACTTTGACTTGTTTAACTTGGCACTGTGAGTTTTTATTAATAAAACTAGAGGCACGGTGCACAAAAATTTGTGCACTCGGGGGGAAGGGAAGGTCCCTCAGCCTGGCCTGTGCCCTCTAGCAGTCTGGGACCCCTCAGAGATAACGACCTGCTGGCTTAGGCCTGCTCCCGGGTGGCAGAGGGCAGGCCTAATCCCTAGGTGCAGCCCCTGGTCGGGCTGAGAGCAGGGCCAATTGGGGAATTGGGGCGCCGCCCCGTCATGCACAGAGCAGGGCGGATTGGGAGGTTGCGATGCCACCCTCAGTCACACTCAGGGTAGGGCCAATTGGGGGGTTGGGGCACCGTCCCGGAACACTCAAGGCAGGGTCGATGGGGAGGTTGCGGCGCCACCCCCTGTCACACACAGAGCAGGGCCAATCAGGGGGTTGGGGCGCTGCCCCCTGTCACGCACAGAGCAGGGCCGACCAGGGGGTTGGGGAGCTCCCCCTGTCAAGCACAGAGCAGGGTCAATCAGGGGGTTGGGGAGCTCCCCCTGTCACACACAGAGCAGGGCCCATCAGGGGGTTGGGGAGCTCCCTCCTGTCACGCACAGAGCAGGGCGGATCAGGGGGTTGGGGCACCGCCCTCTATCACCCACAGAGCAGGGCCGATCGGGGGGTTGGGGCGCTGCCACTGTCACACTCAGGGCAGGGCCGATGGGGAGGTTATGGCTCTACCCCATCACACACAGAGCAGGGCCCGTGGGGAGGGGGGGTGGGGTTGGGGCGCCGCCCTCTATCACCCACAGAGCAGGGCCGATCAGGGGGTTGGGGCGCCGCCACTCTCACACTCAGGGAAGGGCTGATGGGGAGGTTATGGCTCTACCCCGTCACACACAGAGCAGGGCCCGTGGGGTGCAGGGGTTGGGGCACCGCACCCTGTCACACACAGAGCCGCAGGGCGATCAGGAGGTTGGGGAGCTCCCCCCTATCAGGCACAGAGCAGGGCCGATCAGGGGGTTGGGGTGCCTTCCCCTGTCAGGAACAGAGCAGGGCCGATAGGGAGGTTGTGGCCCCGCCCCCTGTCACACACAGAGCCACAGGGCGATCAGGGGGTTTGGGCGCTGCCCCCTGTCATGCTGATCCCGGTGCCAGGAGACCTTGCGGCTCCGCTGATCCCGGTGCTGGGAGGCATATTACCCTTTTACTATATAGAATAGAGGCCTGGTGCATGGGTGAGGGCTGGCTGGTTTGCCCTGAAGGGTGTCCTGGATCAGGGTGGGGGTCCCCACTGGGGTGCCTGGCCAGCCTGGATGAGGGGATGAGGGGATGGCTGTTTGCAGCTGGTCACACACCCTTCAGGGTGGGGGTCCCCACTGGGGTGCCTGGCCAGTCTGGGTGAGGGGCTGAGGGCTGTTTTCAGGCTGGGACTGAAGCTCCCAACTGCTCCTTTTTTTCTTTTTTTCTTTTTTATTCTGAGCCAGCTTTAGCTCTGAGGCTCCAGCTCTTAGGCCTCCACTCCTGAAAGCAGGTATCTGGTTTGTTTAGGTTCTACAATCAAAAACTCTGTATCAACTCCAGGTCAGAGATCCCAGCTAGCTGAAATCTGGTTTCTGGGGTTTTGTTTAGCTTCTATTTTTGTAACTATGTTTCAAACTGACAGCTCAGAGGCCTGCAGCAGCAGGCGGGGAACGTTGGAGTCCTCCGTCACTGAAGCAAGCAAGCCTCATGTTAGTTTCAAGCTGCCTGGCTGCCGGCCGCCATCTTGGCTGGCAGTTAATTTGCATATCTCGCTGATTAGCCAATGGGAAGGGTAGCGGTCGTACGCCAATTACCATGTTTCTCTTTTATTAGATAGGATGCACGTGGGCATTTAAAAAACAAACCAACGAGGGGAAAACCAAGATGGCGGCATAGGTTAACGCCGGAGTCTGCTGCCTTGAACAACTACTTCAAAAGTGAAACTAAAAGACGGAACGGACATCACCCAGAACCACAGGAACGCTGGCTGAGTGGAAGTCCTACAACTAGGAGGAAAGAGAAACGCATACGGACACTCAGAGGAGGCGCAGTGCTGAAGTCAAATACTGAGGTGCGGAGTGCGCGGTTG